CTAGCTCTCCGAAGGCAGCAGCTTATGGCTATTAACCCTCTATTGCGCAACACTGACTTAAATCAGTCAACGCTTTTCCATCAGGTGTAAGATGTCAATAAAGGATTGTTAGTAAAAGGGTTTAAACCAGTGGTTCTAAAACTGGTACATGTACAACAAGTGGTATGCAGGCTTCCTTCTAGTGGTACGCGGAGGAATCGCTAAATAATTCAAGTAAAAAAATGAACACACTTTTAACCCTTTGACGCGTAAGATAACAACAATGTGATCAGGAAACTGATTTTAATAGGATAAACTTTTTAATTTATTTTCATTTTTCTAATGTTTGTTATGTATTCTATCATTTGAGGTTATTTTCCTTCCCATACTTGTAATGGTTGTTAAGGGCGTATCTCGTATTTTTACATCCCAATGTTGACAGGTATAGTTTAATCACTTGCTTCCTTGACACACATAGCCTACTCTAATGAGCAGTAAGCAGATCTAATTTAATTGAAATATGTAAATCCAATTCATATATTTAAAATACAAGTTAACGTTTAAATTTCAAAGACATAAAAATAAGACATATATACATGCAACATATATTTCCAAATTTATTAAAAAGAGTTAAATATGTATATTATGACATATGGTATAACCTATATTTATGAGGTTCACGAAACATTTGCAGGTTTTGATGAATAGGCTACTTTATGATTATACTTTACATTTAAGTACAGCAGTTTTCTTTTAACTTTATAAGAACACAGTGCTATTTTAAATAACTTTTAAAATCACATTTTAATTTAAACGTTGACATTTAATTTATTAATTTTTTTAACTGTAAGTGTGTTATTGTTCAAACTATTTATTATGTTTAAATGGCTGACAATAATAAATATTCATAATAAGTTATAATCTGTAGTTTTGTAGTAAGCTGTAGTCGCTTAATTGGGCCTACTATATATTCCAATACCAGTCATTATGGTGGTACTTGGACAGACATTTTTTTCTGAGGTGGTACTTGGTGAAATGAGAACCACTGCTATAGACAATTCTATAGAATACAAAAAACATGTTTTATAGAATTATTCGTTATGTGTTGTCTTAGACCAGACTCATGGCCGAGAGTATGACCATTGTTATTATTTATGATTATACTTTACATTTAAGTACTTTTAAGTACATTTACTTTTTAAGAACAGTGCCATTTTAGTTAACTTTTAAAATCCCATTTTAATTTACTTGTGAATCCAGATTCCACAACTATTATGGATCAGCTGTGATCGCCGCTGCCGGTTATCAGTGTCACTCATCGTTGATCAGCACCAGAGCATTAGAGCCAATCGCAGCCTATTCTGTTGAGCATGTGACCAATCATAGGAGTTAAAAAACTTGCGCGACAACACTCAGAAAGCAAGTTGGGTTTAATATTTACATTTGTTCACTTGCTATAAATGCTCATGTTGTTTTCAATCCAAAAGAGTGATGATAGTCATAACCGAATCGAACCGTCAGACCAGTGTAGGTTCACACCTCTAATAACATCTTATGGAATCCTGCAGAGAACATGTTAATGGATGAGCTAAAGTATTCAACACTCATTATAATGGAGGTATGAAGCAGAGTAAATCTGAGAACTGTTGAAGCGAAACAAGAGCCCAGAAGCAACTGCTGATGAGAGATGAACACGATGCGAAGCGGCCCGGCACGAAAGCAGTGGAGCTTTTATTATTTCAATCCATTTCACTATCGTTAAAATTGCTTATTTTTTTTCAGGATTCGAACATTAAACCATTTAAAACATTTGGGAAAATGTAAGTATATAAAGCAGCAAAATATAAAACACAGTTCTTGTGTTTTTAGATATTTTAATAAAACAATTGTACCTATTGTGCCTTTGTTGTTTTATTTTACATTATTTAAAAGAAACTTGTGCTCACAAAAGCTGTTTGTTAAATAAAAAAAAAACAGTAAAAATGTGAATTATTACTACAATATAATTTAGTTTTGTCTTTCAATGCTTTAAAATGTCATTTATTCATGTGACGGCAGAACTGAAGTTCAGAAGTTTATCATTGTTACTCCAGTCATGGTCATCGTTGACCAATAGAGCTCAAAAGCTCTTTCATTCATGACTGCCAATACAATAAGATGGCAAAACATGCCTTTTTGGTAGCCAATCTTTGCTTCAGGAAGTCAGCATTAAAGGAATAGTTCCTGTTAATATACTCACCCACAGGTCATCCAAGATGTAGAGTACTTTTTTCTACAGTAGAATATTAAAGAAGCAAAATTTGAGCTAAATCCGTGGTCCTTGGTAATCATTTGATAGCAGTAAACGGTGATTGATCCAAATTAATGGCTACTGATGACACACTAAGGTCTTGTAAAGCGAAACGATCGGTCCATGTAAGAGACTGAACATTATTTAGAATAGCATTAGCCTCAATCCACAGTCTGGTCAAACAGATATCAGCGCACGGGCGACTGTAGTTTGATAATAGTTTGGTCGCTTTTGATGATGAAAGCATGAGAGCCGGTGATGTAATCACCAATATCAGCTAACTGCGTCACCCAACCTCCTGTTCAAACACACTCTCTTAATTTTGTCATCATAAGCAACAGGACTATAGTCGAACTACATGCACTAATATCTGATTATAAAAAGAGAGCTTTTTGGATGATTCAGTCACAAATTAAACATTTTTGTATTTCACTGCTCTTTGTAACTTTGATGTGTACTTCATACACGTGAAAAAAAACTATTTTATTTCTTTATGATTTTAAATTTTAGAATAGTGACTGATTTTTTTCATAGAACAGCAATAATAAAAACAAATATTTTTATTTTAAATGAAGAAAATAAACGTTTATTTTACTTGTGATATGGAACATCCTCACTTTATAATATGCATCTAGACTAAATAATTTATTTTTATTTATGTGTATATAAAAAGGCAGAGCAGCTTATTTAATATCGGCAGTTGGACCAAGTCTGTGCACTGTGCCTTGAACACATAACTTCCCTCCTGGCAAATATATTTCAACCCACCCTTTTCTTCAGCACACCCTGTGGAAAACAGCCCCACGGCTTATGACTTGTCAATTTCTAAGAACGAAGGTCCCAGGAGGTCTGACATATTTCTTGTCAACTTAAAATTGCATAACCCAACAATCTTAACAGACAAAATGAGTGTATGGTATGACATAGTTTTCATAATGCATGCGATAGAGCAGTAGTTCTCAACCACGTTCCTTGAGAACCACCAGCACTACACATTTTGCATGTCTCCTTTGTCTGCCACACCCTTTTCAGATCTTGCGATCTCTGCTAAAGAGCTGATGACCTAAATCAGGTGTGATTGGTTAAGGAGACAGAAAATTTGCAGTGCTGGTGGACGTTCCTCCATGAAACGTGGTTAAGAAACACTGCAATAGAGGGTTAATATAACTGCACATTGCTTTGATAGCTACAACCTCATGTTAATTACGTTTACATGGACATCAGTAATCAAATTATTTGCCTTAATCTGAATAAAACATTAATATTATTAAGGTGTTTAAATGAGTTGCTTTTTGAATGTTCCTTTATAATGTGCTCAGCCTGACGTTTTGTCCATTCACACACATTTTAAGTATCACATGATCTCTTTCAACAAAATCACATGACCTTTTTTAATGCGCATGCTGGAGTTTGTGCGGTAAAAGTGTTTCAATTGCAGTTTATGCGCATCTTTTTTTATCGAATAAAAAGTTTATCCTGCCCAGTTAAGTGCATAAGTTTTTTATGCGCATTTTCAAAATTTATGCGCATTATGGCGTTTCCATCAACTTTTTTTTTAAGCGCATTTGCAAAATGTGCATAAAATAGGTGGATGGAAACATAGCTATTGTTTTGTTTGTGTGCCATAGATTTTTGTATTTTAGATTATTGTATTTTATTCATATATATTTATTTTTTAGTTGAATACAACTGATTTTATTTTTTTATTTTCTCATTTTACTATTTGAAAGCGGTGATTGGTATGATCTTAGAGCAGCACAATAATGCATTTTCAGTTTAGAATGCATGCAGTTTCATTTATGCATTTATCTTGACATTTAGGAACATATTTTTGTTTTTAAAGGACATTTACTTTTTTGCTATTTACCTGTTAAAAAAAAAATCCTTTGATTATTGATAGAGCCATAAAAACTTTTCTTTATTTATTTAATGATTAAATAATATACTCTGTGTTAGGTCTTAGTTCAATTGATTTAGTGCAATCATTTTAATATGTTTTAATAAACATTGAATAGTCTGACCCTCAGCTTGTAGTAAATTAGTTTTTTGGCCCTCTGTGATATTTGACTTTGACATCCTTGCTTTAGTCGGATAAAGGTAATCAGAAATCGCTCTTTACATGGTAGACTCTTAATTAGAGTATTGTCTTAATCGTATTTAAATCATATTATTGGTGTCCATGTAAACATATTCAGTGACAACTAAATAATTGGGAGGGACTGAGGGATGAATAGGACTTGCCTATAGTGCCACTATAAGCAAGCAATGGCTGTTTGAGAAAAGCACATGAGAGAACACTGAGAAAACGCTTTTGCAAAACTGTTTGTTAGTGCTGTTAGTCAAAAAAAATTCTTAGTAAAATTAGGTTGTTTTTAAAATGAACAAAATAACCTGCCACTGGGGTAAGCAAAGCAATCTTGTTTTTTTTTTTTTTTTTTTTGCTTAACTCACTGGCAATGTTTTCGCTTGTCTAGAAAGTGCTTCTTGATTTAATTTTTAAAACGTATTTGGACTAGAAAGACAAAAACACTAAGCAAGAAAGGCTTTTTTGCAGTGCAAATGTTTATAGAGGCGCAGAGCTGCTTTAATGCTGAATTCATTGTTTTCTCATTAATGAAAGCCTGAGCATGGAGGAACTCTTTCTGAGGCCTGTGCATTGCAAAGCGCGCTGTCAGTCAGGAGAAGCTCAGCGATCGATGCAGCAAAAGGGGCAGCAGAATCTAGAGGTTACCTGAGGGACCAGTTCTCTTGGGTTTGTGGGAAAAGTGTTCACCTGGATTTGGTGGAGGCGCCACGTCTTGGCCCTGTCTAGCTTGGATGGGATCATATTCTTTTCCATCATAGTTGGCATCAAAGAATTTTTTAAACCACTGGACGAATTCAAAGTTGTCTTGGAATTTTCCTTTCACTAATCTTTCCACAGGAATTATCTGGATGACAAGGAAAAGAGGAAAAGAAAGGTAAGGTGTCTTATTTATGTTAAAATATTTTCTGCTCTAGCAGGAATTTCATAGCATACATTAGATTTATTTGATAAATGATAAACAACAATAGACACATTGATATTTTCAGATGATCTGGCCGTATGAACATACGTGGACAAATAGCTTTTAACACTAATTTCTATTAGTTACGACAGTCATTATATATAATGCTCAAGAAATTAGTCAGTCAATTAGTCAAATTATACAAATATGGCTACTGAAAATGTGCGAGTGATCTAAAGTGCTGTCGCACCTTAATGCGGTAATGCGTGACAAGCACAACATGGTCTAACACAAGAAAGACATGACCAGCAGGGGGCAGTTATATAACATAGTGAACATACTGAACTGATACTGTAGTAGCCAGAGGCACATAAGCAGAAGCAGAGAGGTGTGACGCTCCGCTAAGCATTCTTCCATGGTCTTACGAACCGCCCAAAGCAATCGCTCTGTAGCATTACGCTCACGCTCGCCGGTAAACCAATATAGCTCAGATTAGCGCCGACATAAAATTTCTGTATTAGGCAAATTTTTATTTTTTTTTTAACTAAAAAATCTTAAATAACTGCCTAAAACTAAAGCACATTGATAAAATAAGTTCCTGTTTCATCTCTCTAGTACTTTATTTCTTTTACTACAGTTTTTTAAAATAATAATTGAATAGGAGTAAGTGAACAACTGTGATTTTTCCAATCATATGTTATATGTAAAAAAACGAGCGTTCTTAGTAGCCATATCTGTAACTTGAGTAATTTGTTAATTTATAATATTTTATATATATATATATATATATATATATATATAAATACAACAGTTCTGTCTGGTTCTTGAATTTGATTGGCTGATAGTCGTGCGATATTCTGCAAATAACAGCACTTGTCCAGCCTCATCACCCTTCACCCTTGCGTATTTCTCCACCCACATACAGGACAAACAGAAGACACTCTACAGTTTAACAAATACTGCTGCTGTTGGACAACATAATGTACTTTTGAGCCTTTTTAGGAGAGAATGTAGTTGTTTGGATTGCAACTATGCAGTTTGTTTATAAGGATAGTGTCTATTTTGAAATAGTCTTTGAGCAAAAACGGCTAACGAGGTTCATCCACAAGATGGCGACAGAGACCACATAATAAGCCCTAAGCGAAAAACTGCGTAATTTCAGGGTGCTTTCACACCTACACTTTTGTTTCGGAACGTATCTCGTTTGCCCAGTTAGCGGGGTTCGTTTGGCATATGTGAACAGGGCAATTGCACTTTGTTCCGCGCCAAAGTAATCGCTCTGAGATCGCTTGAATGAGGTAGTCTCGGCTCGATTGCAACAAACCCTGGAGCGGTTTGATTGCAGTGAGAAAGCGATCCGATCCGAGCGCGGTTATATCACAGTGTTTTATGGATATGTAATAGGCTTACGGCTATATGAAGAGAGAATTATGAGTAGGGCGGGAAGATTTGCAGGTCTCTGGATGCCCGCAAACGAGTGATGATCTCCCGATAATCTTGCGTCTCCCTCCCGGTCCTCAAATAGGCATCGTCGCGCACCCTTCTCACCCCTCCCCACCGCGTCTCTCCTCAGACACGTCGCGCGCACCCTGTCAATCACCACCAAACCACCACCTCTCCTGACAGCTGAGCGGGACGCTGCAAAATAAACCCTGACACTCTGACCAATGTAACGAGTTTACTCGCACGTGACTTGTTTTAGCTCTTTTGGTCTGATTAGAAACTTTGCAGTGTGAAAGAGAACCGCTCCAAGAGCAAAGAGCCACAATGTAACAATTGTAATCTGTTTTGGAACAACTGAATCGATTTACAGGTGTGAAAGCCCCCTTAAACTACAGCTGATCAAATCATTATTAAACAGGTAAATGACTTTGTAAGTCGATCTCTCTCTTTTGCATGTTGTAGTGCTGAATTTATACTATTTAGGGCGTACTCACACTATATACAGTTGCCTTGAACCAGGCCAAAGCACGCTTGTCCCCCTCCCGTCTTCTCCGACGGCCCGCACTCACATTACATTCGGGCCTGGACACGCTTACATCATCGATGATGCGCTATTCAGTCAGCACTTTCGCTCAGCACAGTGTAGATTTCTTTAGTCATATTGTTTAAGACGTTTGATAGGCAGTGACACACAGTCAAATATTTTGCTGAACAGATCACTCAATTTTGATGCTCATAAACAATCAAAAAGTCCTCGTGCTGCAGAAATTGAAGGTTTGCTGAAGTCGCAGCTGTCGTACAGTGAGGGGTTTTCATCTTTAATAATCTACGACAGTTTGTGTTCATTGAAGAGTAAGAATGCTTAATAAATCCATATGAAACAGTCCCTTAAAAGTCACGTCTTGCTTTCTGTTTCGTGCTCAGGCGCGTTTTGCACTCACACTAAAAACGTCCCACTCCAAACTCCAAGTGAACAGCGCTCTGGCACACCTCTTCCAACCGGGCCAGGTCCAGCCATGTGAACCATGCCTGAGCCCGATTCAGAGCACTCACACTTCTCAAACGATCCAGGAAACGGGCCTGGGCATGGTTTGGAGAGCATAGTGTGAGTCTGCCCTTTTACTATATTGTCATCACTTTAGATATTACGCTAGGGAATCATTCAAATACTAGCTCTAAAGTGACGTTGGTAAATGAGCAATGGTTTCTGCTGTTCTGACATCACCATATCATTTGGATATTTCTTAAGATGAAAGTTATGTAAAAAACACTCATCTATACAAGAGAACTGTGTAGATCAGAAGTTAAAATTACAAGCAAAAATTATCCTATGTTAAATTATACATTTAAAATTGATCTTTTACATTTTTAACTCAGATATTTTAATTTTGTTCTTATTTTTATGCAATCTGTCATTGTAGCTGTTTGTTAAGTAGATTAAAATTAAGTAGATTATAGATTTTATTATTTCTGTTTCCTTGTAACTTAACATGCAATTTATAATATTTTTATAATATTTTATTATAACCATGTATTATATAATATTTATATTATAGATCTAGTTTATATAATTTATTTCATTGTTATTTTTTATCAGTAGTAGTAGGAGGAGGAGAATTGTTGCTTTGGCAATAAGCTGAAGGAAATCATTTTCTTCTTTTTTTGAGTAAATGTTAAATTTCAAGTTTTTAAAAGGTAATCTTATTATTATTATTCATTATAATTCACTTAATCATTTCACTAGTGCACTTCATTAATGTTATTCAGGCCCATAGCCTAGAAAGGTCCAGTATTTGTCCCATACATTAGCTCATTTGTCCTATTTTGACAGTTAGGCCATCATAAATTATCAAAATAACCCATCGAAAAAGGCTTTGAGACCTAAAGTGAGACCTGCAAGTAAAGTCAACGTTCACTGTGTAGGTTGTTAAATAGACATTTTACAAGTAACTTGGGCATTATTCTTGAAAGAAAAAATGACCAATAAAATGTTGTGAAGCACCATAGGCAGCCCATAATAAAGTTACTTGTAGTACTTATTAGGCTATTGTTGTTATCCATGAATTATCAAATGTACTTTTTGCAAGAGATGCTATAAAAATCGTAAAGCTCTACGCTATTAATTTTTTATTATTCAAATGGGCAAAAAATTCAGACTGGGGAAAGTTAAATTTGCTGGCCAGTTTGTTATTTGTCTAATAACTGACAATAGGCAAAAGTTTTTAATTTAAAATTTTAACAGATTTCTATTTTAACCCCCCAGTGTTGATGTAATAAATGTGTATTTTAAATATAAGTAGCCTATTTTTCATATTTCTTTATTCTAAATATTTAGAAAATGTTTTCATTACATCAAGAAGTGTGACCATCTGACAAACTAATCTAGCAAAAAAAAAAGTGCCTAAAATGTCACTAAAATGCAGTATTTAAACTTCATAATTGAAAAGAAAATGACTTGAATAACTGCAAAAAGTCCACCAGGCTGGCTACAGGCTTGTTCTTTGAATATACTGTAAATAAAATGCTATTTGAACTTAAAGAAGTTGTGAGATGTACTGTAAATAAAAACAAATGTTTAAAAGTCACTAACTTTATCGACGTTCATCCTCTTAAAAGCTGCCTGGAGTACTTTGAAGTTGTGTATAAACTCATGTTCCAGCTTTGCCTGAAATTTCACTTTCTTTAAAAGAATACACCCAGGGAACAACATCTCCATGAACTGACAATAAGCCGCCCCTGAAGACAAACAACAGAAGATAACAGTGGTCAACACAGCTCTTACATTACACAATAAAAAAGGAGAAAAACATCTTTAATCAACATATATGCAAGTGATTGGTTTACCTAATTAGTGTTTAGTGATAAAGAATGCAAAGTAAATGCTTCAGTTTGACTGACTGCACTTAATGCACGCACTCAGTACATGTTACCTTTCAACATGACAGATTAAACTTACAGTGGTGCTACTGTAGATGATCTACAGTGGAGCAGGAATAAAAATATGTAGTGCTGTTCATGAGATCAAAGGCAGAATGACTTCATGAAATCAGGCAGTTGGACCCACCTGAACATAACTGCTCTATTTTGGTGTAGGTGAGCTGAAGGGAATCGTTCACCCATGCCAACATGTCATGTCGGCTCAGGTTCTCAATTGTTACTGATGTCGAGTATACATTCACTGCCATCTCCTAGAAAGACGAACAAAATAAAACAAAGTCAACATGGATATAAATGCACTTGAACATTCTGCCATTGTTTGCTCACCATCCCTTCCTATAAGACTTCCAATTCATTTTCACAACAAAACAATCTAAGATTTCTATCATCAATCAAATTCAGCGATCTCATGTTCTTGTTTAACGGCATCATCAACTGCCAAAGTTCTGTTCCAAAACTCAAGGCCGCAAGAACTGAGGATGCTTAAAGGTTCCCCGATGTGTTCTTGATATGGAGGACGTCTTGAGCTCTAGAAGTCCCAGAAGTCATTTGCGACTGAATGAAGGAGGTGGAAGTGCAGCATTTTATATAGATTTGTTATTAAAGTTTAGAGATATGACTTATTTATCTATGATGATGCAGTGGTGCAGTAAGTAGTGTTGTTGCCTCACAGCAAGAAGGTCGCTGGTTCGAGCCTCGGCTGGGTCAGTTGGCATTTCTGTGTGGAGTTGCATGTTCTCCCTGTGTTCACGTGGGTTTCCTCTGGGTGCTCTGGTTTAGAAGTCTGCATTCCCGACCAGATTTCTTGCGCCGCGGGAATAAATTTCCAAATAAAGCTCAGGAGCGGTCGGTAACTGGTGTAATTTTGAACGGAAGCAGGCGGTCTAACAATATCGCTCCCGACTCCCAAGTGAGCAATGCACGTATGTATGTGTGTGAATTTAGCTTGTTTTTTGCTCTGTGTGTGTGTGTGTGTGTGTGTGTGTGTGTGAATGAGAGAGAGCGTGATGTTGTCTGTGTGTGTGTCACTTGCTTGGTGCTTATGTGTGTGTGTGTTTATACAAACAGTTTGTTATAGGCTGTCTGGACTCTATATAGCTGGGTGGTTTTCGGTTTTGTTCTCCCCCCCGCTCATTAGCGGGAACGGGCGAGGTGGGTAGAAAATTGGGTGGGCTGGGCAGCGGGACAACAAATGCTTAATATAAGCAGAAACAGTCGTGTTCGGACTACAACCTGGCAGGAGCGGGATTCAAAATTTAGTCCCGCGCAGATCTCTACTTTGGTTTCCCCCACAGTCTAAAGACATGTGGTACAGGTTAATTGCGTAGACTAAATTGTCCGTAGTGTGTGAGTGCGAATGAGTGTGTGTGGTTGTTTCCCAGAGATGGGTTGCGGCTGGAATTTGTATTAAAATCTGTTTTATTTGTATTGTGCAACATACAGTATATTTCATTATGCACAGAATATATAGCGAAAAGGGAAAACAATAAATCGCTGTATGAATGCTGTCAGGTTTAAATAAATTTCCATTAAAAATGTGTGAAGGTCATGTGACCATCAGGAAGAACCAGGGAAGACCGCAGCATCTCATTTCTCAGAGGACACGTTCTTCCGAGGTGACCTGGTAAGACCGGTCTTTACAAGAACACAAGTCCGTTCTCTGCTTTCTTGGAATTGAAAAAAGCCCATGTCTCTTCACAAAGTTTTAATTAAACTGATCATTTGGATTTTGTTTTAAATCAATTTTGAAGCATTGAAGAATTTTACTGGAAAAACAAAAATCCCTTAGATTTTGTTACAAATATTTTCATTTATGTTACAATTGAATATAAACAAACACCTTAAAGAGACACTCCACTTTTTGAAAATAGGCTTGTTTTGTAAACAGCAACAAAAAATGGCAATCACATATTGCACCTTTTACTCTAGGTTGCCTGTTGGGCATTCACATGTGGGGAGGGAGAAGTGGAGGGAATCATATATGTTTTTTTGATTTATACCAATCAAAAAATTATATTTAATCAGGTGACTACAGTATGTCATGTGACGGAAATTAAATGTACTCTAAGCACTGTTGTGCAATATGACAATACATGTCATCTGGAATGTAGGACCAGAAGCCCATACTGAGTGTCACTATTCATGTGTTAAAACTAAATCTAAATGTGTGAATAGGTGAATAAATGTTACAAGATGAAAATTAGTCTTCTGAACTCAATTATAACCAATAATTATGACAACATGCCTGACTTGACGTGTATTTAATTGGTTATGCCTCACATGGGTGAGTGGGCTTGACAAACCACCGGCAAAAAACACTCTTTCATCTCTCTGACACTTTAACTTACACTTGCACTAGTTTTACCCATTTGCACCAGACACTTTCTAACAATGACTCTATATCTCTAAAAATAATTGTGCATTTATGAAGTGTGCTTCACACAGGTAAGTGGGCTTGACAAACCACCTGTAAAAACATCTCTCTATAAAAAAAAAACACTCCCACCTCCTTACTTGTGTGTGAATGAGTGTGTTTGGATGTTTCCCAGAGATGGGTTGCAGCTGAAAGGGCATCCGCTGTGTAAAACATATGCTGCATAAGCTGTGGCGACCCCTGATTAATAATGGGACTAAGCTGAAAAGAAAATGAATGAATGTGTGTATTGCTTCATCTTGTTGAATCGCTGAATGCCTCCTCAATTGTAAATAGCAAAAGCCTGCTTAATTACTAAACATAAATCTAAAGGCCTTAGGGGCCGATCACACCAAATGTGCTTTTTGCATTGAGAGGCACCTTTTTTGAATGGTTTACTAGCGTCCGCGAGCGTTTTGCACAATGCTTATGTGCTCTGCGCGCATCGTGTGTTGATCATCTGCTGCGCCTCGAGTTTTTGCTGTTACACGCTTAACGCTTCTGTGAGCAGACAGAGTGTACTACGTCACTCTTTACGACTTTTTCATCCTCCAATCAAATGAAAGCTGAGGCGGGGTTTGTGAGAGGCCGTCAGAGGCCGTCTGTTTCGCTCTATGGTTTCGCTACATGTGGAGAGCGTCACATCACCTTTCCAGGTTTGTCGCGAATGTGACATTACCCAGATGGAGGAGCTTGACCAGATGCGCCCCAGCTCAAACCAGTCATGTGGATCGAGTACGCCATTGTTAATATTAGAAGGAAAATAAACATATTTATGCTTTTTTGGACTCACTTTTGACAACGCTTGAACAAAATTTAAGACCTCGTAAAAATGCCATTAAGACTTTTTATCACATTTTATCTTTCTCATAATTGATTTATCAACTTTTAATACTTTTTAAAACCCTGCGGACACCCTGTGTATGAGTCATAAATCTTGAATATTACAATATTATTAAATATTAAAATTATTTTAGTATCAACAGCAACACTATCGCACAATACCCCACTGACAACAAAGAAGGCACTGTGCTGCGCCTCACGTTTTTGCAACGTAAATGCGTTTGGTGTGACCAATAGGTAAATTACATTAATAATAAATTAAATAAATTAAATGTAAACATTTAAAAAAAGTATGTGCTGTTTGTAACTTTCTCAGTGCACTGCATCTGTTGATATCATCTTAGTCCTGCTTTCTGTTTTTAAATTAAAACCGTGATACAAACTGAGGCGTGAACAATCATTGCACCACTAATATGGAAGAACGAAACAGAAATGAAAATTCTATAGTTTCATATTATTCACTACCGTTTATTTCATTGCGGTGTTGGGAAAATACACTGTTTATGGTAAGATTTTTTTCATAATTTAGATGTTAAACTGCACCATAGGGATGCAGACAGAAACGTGAATAACAGCAAGTACAAGGTTAAAAGTACAATGTTTACCTTTGCATTTTATTTAGCATTATTTTATGTTCGGCCAGTAATCATTCGTTTTTGAAGAGTATTTATATATTTTTTTCTACATTCTTTCCAGCCCTAAATTCTGCAAAAATGATCTTCTTACATTAATTATTTGTATTGTTTTCTAGTGCAAATATATTTAAAAATATATAAATAAAAATATATTTTTATATAAATTTAAAAAAAAACACATTGTCTTGTTTTAAGAAATAATGAGCCAAAATGGTGCACGTTTTTCCTTAATGCAAGCAAAATAATCTGCCAATGGGGTGAGAAAAATAATTGTATGTTAGAAGGATTATTTTACTTACCCCACTGGCAAATTATTTAGCCGGTTTTAAGGAAAAACTCACTTAATATTGACATATTATTTCTGAAAATAAGACATGTTTTGCTTGCCTAGAAAATGTTCTTGATTTAAGAACTGGACTAGAAAGCCAAAAAATCTAAATAAGAAAAGCATTTTTGCAGTGTAACTCTGAGTGTTTGTATATTATTGACACCCTGATAAAGTTTAACTTTAATGTTAAAGCCATGTGAATCAAAACTTTTTATTTTTCGAGTGTCTTCGACTTACCCATTTTTTAACAATAAAAAAACATGCATCTACAGAGCACCAAAACATGGAGTTTGTACCCCTGCAGCATCTTTAGCATGTCAGTGGATGTTTATGTTCTGTTGTCACCGCATCCTTTCAGAGTAAAAACTAATCACACTATAAGTTTCAATCCTCCAGAGATAATCCACCCAGATTAAAGTGTTTCTGAGATGTTTTTAACCAGGCACATCTGCTGCATCCAGCAGACTGAAGGATGGAAACGACATCTGTAAACCTTCAGCATTAAATACACACACACATCTACAAAGGCACAATGTGTGTGTATTTCACAGCATTTTTTAAAGCTCTGAGTCTGGAGTACTGTAACAAAATAATATTCATTTTCTTTTCAGCTTAGTCCCTTTATTAATTCGGGGTCGCCACAGCAGACTGAACCACCAACTTATTCATGTTTTACGCAGCGGATGCCCTTCCAGTTGCAACCTATTACTGGGAAACACCCATACACTCCCATACACACACATACACTGTTGACAATTTAGCTTACCCAATTCACCTATAGCGCATGTCATTGGGCTGTGGGGGAAGCTGGAGCACATGGAGTAAACCCATGCAAACCCCACACAGAAATGCCAACTGACCCAGCCAAGGCTCAAACCAGCGACTTTCTTGCTGTGAGGCAATCGTGCTACCCACTGCACCACCGTGATGCCACAAAATAATATTTAAAAATAAAATCATGATCTCAGCTATACGTGTTGAATTGTTAGCCTGAATACACAGAAAATGCCACTGAAAAATAACAATAGTTTTGAATATCATATTAAATGTATCGGCTTTATTTTCATGTTTGTGTAGAAGTTAGAGCTGCACAATATTAGAAATAAATGACATTGCAATATTTTTTTTTTGTGAAACATATTGCATTATGAATATAATTACACAAGATGACTATTTGGTGAAAAAAATCCAAAAGTATACAGAAATACACAAAATAATATAATTTAAAGCACAGATGAAAACAATAGAACAAAGATAAACATTAAATAAACAACATTATGGGTTTTGGTGGAGTCTACCAGTATTGAGATATAGAAATTCAACAATCAAGTGTAAATAACAGTGTCTTCACACAATTACTGCATATACTGCATACCCAATTAATCAAATTTAATGTAATTGTTAAAGCAGAAAGCTTTATAATGTCTTGTGTCTAAATGGTTTAAATGAACTTAAAATCTCTTGAGATCCTGTGATATGACCATTGCAGATTCGCAATCAATGCTGATACAATATAGTGTGCAGCCTTAGGAGAAGTTACATTTTATCATGAAGTTATACGTTTGTAAATTTAAATATGAGTAAAAGATAAGATGGACCATTTTGGTGTTGCGTTAAATAAATTCTTCAACTAAATGTTGTGGGGAAAAAATAAATATCTTATAAAAAACTAAACATATACTAAATCCCATCTTTCTGACAAACTATATTGAGGGTGTACTTTAAGCCTTAAATAGTCTTTTATTTTGGATTTTTTTATTTAATTTAATTTAATTTAATAGAACACAATAAAAAAATCTTGAAATATTGTAATTGTTTATTGGAGGTTTATTCTTAATATATTACCTGATCATACACATTTGCATACACACAAATATGTCATAATCTCTTTCTTCTGTAAGGACATAAATATATTTCTTAAAGAAGTACATTTACTTATATATTTTGATCAAGGTTGGCGTGGTGGCGCAGTGGGTGGCACAATCGCCTCACAGCAAGAAGGTCGCTGATTCGAGCCTTGGCTGGATCATGTTGGCATTTCTATGTGGAGATCTATGTGCATGTTCTCCCCGTGTTCGCATGGGTTTCGTCTGGGTGCTCTGGTTTCCCCCATAGGTCCAAAAAAAAAAAAAAAAAAAAGACATGGTATAGGTGAAGTTGTCCCTAGTGTGTGTGTGAATGAGTGTGTATGGGTGTTTCCCAGTGACGTGTTGCAGCTGGAAGAGCATTTGCTGCGTTAAAAATTTCTGCTGGATAAATTGGTGGTTTATTCCTCTGTGGTAACCCCAGATTAATAAAGGGACTAAGCTGAAAAGAAAATGAATAAATGAATGATACTTTGATCAAGACAAGGTTTCAATCAGAGTAATGATCATCCAAGTAAATTAACCAGTAAATAAACTAAAAAACTTGTTTTATAACTTTCTAGATAAAACAATCTAACAGTCATCAGTCAAGTGAATATATTGTAAATATATTGACAAATAAAGTTAGAGGACATTTTCACGCCTTAAACAAAAAATGGCTAAAAAGACAATAGGCATTGTGATAATATACATTTTCAGTTTTTTTCTAAATAAAGCTGGGTGTATTCTGAATAAAGTAGTGTAAACAAAAAGGCCTATGAACGTTTTTTGAAAATAATTGTCAACAACCTAACCTTAAGTCTGAATACAGCAGCAGTGACTGACAGGTGCCATCATCAAGTGTAGATATATTTGTGTCGTGCTCGTTTTGCTTTGTCACGTGATCTTACTCATGCTATAATATTAGTATATAGCACAAACTAATTCATAAGGTTACGAATATTTAAACATAATGCAGACGATGTTTTGAATACAGAAACTATACTACAGCATCTTCTACATGATGGGCACACAGGCCGTATAACGCGCAGTTTATATCCCTCACACGCCATTCTTACGCTAAAATCAGCATATGAATAGTATATTTTGCTCCGTTACTTAGCATAAAGCAGTCTGAGGTGATATGTAATACATGTGAGTCCGCTGAACAAACGGCTCATTATTGTGACAGCTCCTCCGCAGGCCCTGCCGTATACACACGCTTGAGCCATAAACACATCATTTACACACACGACGCCAGTACAATGACATTCATTAGGAAGAATTCCGGTGAATTATGACACGTTAACAACATTGTACTCACTGTATTTTGACTGCGTCCTTTCCAATGTTGTTATTACACTGGCTGAAGGCAATCCGCTGCTGCTCCTGTGGGTTGCCAGATATGCGCTCTTCTGCTGCTTGGTTACGGGCAGCCCACGATAGCGCCACGCTCTCCTGCAACAAAACGGCTTCTCTTTGCGCATGCGCGCCGCCCCTTCATTATACACGCACGCCTTAGTGAAGTATTGACAGTGGAGAAAAACATCACGGTAGTTGGGATGTATTGTGTGTATCACGCATGTTTTTTCATATTGTAGTATAAATGTATATTTATTCTGTCATTAAGATACTATTATACAGTTTTGTAGGTAATTATATTCATGATCGATAATAATAATAATAATATTAATTAATTCATTTTCTTTATGCTTAGTCTCTTTATTAATCTCGGGTCGCCACAGTGAAATGAACCGCCAATTTATCCAGCATATGTTGCCCTTCCAGCTGTAACCCAACACTGAAAAACACCCATACACTCTCATCCACACATACATTTAGCTTAGTCAATTCACCCACAGCGCATGTCTTTGTACTGTGGGGAAAAACGGAGCACCCGGAGGAAACCCATATAGATAATGATAACTCTTTCAGGTAACATTTTAACAAATGACTACACAGATTACACATAATCATTTGGATTAATCACATAAATAAATACTAAATACATATGTATTCTCTGTAAAGACAACCTTAAAATTTTGAATATTAATATCCAAATGTATTCTTTTAGCTTTTAAAAAAATTAAGGTATAAGTTATTAGTTTTTTCATAACAGATGTTATGTATAAACTATTATTTTTATATACATTTCTTATGAATAAAAATATTTATTAATGTAAAACATAAATACATAAAAAACAAGGACAGTTATTCAAAAATCTCAATAAAAAAACAAGACAAATAATCAACTTGTTTAATTACTCATTGTAATTAACTCATAAAATCAATAATTTTACACACACACACACACATCGGTCATATATATATATATATATATATATATATATATATATATATATATATATATATATAAATAAAATCGTAAAAATTATACCATGATAAAAATGACTGTATTAGAACAAATTACGTTTGAATTAATAATATAAATAGTCTTTACACTTAATAAAAGGTGACATGGTGACGCAGGTAGTGCTGTCGCCTCACAGCAAGAAGGTCGCTGGTTGGAGCCTCGGCTGGGTCAGTTGGCGTTTCTGTGTGGAGTTTGCATGTTCTCCCTGCGCTCGCGTGGGTTTCCTCCAGGTGCTCTGGTTTCCCTCACAAGTCCAAAGACATGCGGCACAGGTTAATTAATTAAGCTACAATTGTCTGTAGTATATGTGTGTAAATGAGTGTGTATGGGTGTTTCCCAGTGATGGGTTGCAGCTGGAAGAGCATCCGCTGCGTAAAACATATGCTGTGTAAGTTGGCGGTTCATTACGCTGTGGAGACCCTAGATTAATAAAGGGACTAAGCCGAAAGGAAAATGAATGAATAAATAAACTTAATAAAATAAAAGAATTAAAAAAGAATTATAAAAAGTAAACTGAAATAATTTAGGGCTACAAAAGGTGCCCTATTTTGTAAAAGCGGTTTTATTTCTTAAAAAAGAAATATGAATTAAAAATGAAATCATTCATTGTGATCAGCTGTGTAAACAACCTAATCATAATTTTATTCAGGGTTTCTGCAGGTTTCATCCAGTCAATTTTTTTAAAGACCCTTTTAAGACCATTATGAATGAGACTTTACATGTATTTGTGTATAGCACTAAGCATTTTTTGTAATGGCCAAGTTGGACCAATGGAGTTGCAAAAAACAATTGTAATTAAATCTTAACCACATATTTTAATGTGTCAAAACAGGAAAACTCTAGTTGGATAGACTTTTTTCAACATGAAGTTTCTTTTTTAATGACAAGTTTAGCATTATTAAAAGTGTATTTATTATGAAGAAAACTACACGAATAATCCAAAATATATGTGTTTGCTTTTGGTTCAAATGAATTAAATATAACTCCTACTGAAGCTAATGTGTTTCTGTTATAAACCTAAAGTTTCATGCCTATTTACAAATATTATGTCCACTCACACTATGTCCACTTTTTAACAGAACAACTCTTCTGTTATAAGATTTTTGTAAACGGAAGATTATGTAAGGGGATATATTGCTGTTATTACCATGAGGAATTGTGGGATTGTTTTTACTTTTCTTTTCCTGATTAGGGAATTTAATTAAACAAATTTGCTGTAAAAATGTCTTAAAGCTGTTGTATAAAATAAACATCTCTTTCCAATAAAAAACTTCAATATATACGGTTGAAGTCAGAATTATTAGCCCCCCTTTGATCTTCTATTTTCTTTTAAATATTTCCCAAATGATGTTTGATAGAGCAAGAAAATTTTCACAGTATGTCTGATAATATTTTTTCCGGAGAAAGTCTTATTTGTTTTATTTCGGCTTGAATAAAAGCAGCTTTTAATTTTTTAAAAACATTTTAAGGTCAAAATTATTAGCCCCTTTAAGCTATATGTTTTTGGATAGTCTACAGAACAAACCAACGTTATACAATAACTTGTCTAATTACCCAAACCTGCCTAGTTAACCTAAGTAACCTAGTTAAGCCTTTAAATGACACTTTAAGCTGTATAGAAGTGTCTTGAAAAACATCTTGTCAAATATTATTTACTGTCAGGATGGCAAAGATAAAATAAATCAGTTATTAGAAATGAGTTATTAAAACTATTATGTTTAGAAATGTGCAGGAAAAAAAAATCTTCTCTCAATTAAACAGAAATTGAGGAAAAAAAAAACAGGGGGGCAAATAATTCTGATTTCATCTGTATATAAAAACAAATTATTTAGATAGATTGTTGGTGATTAGATGAGTGTTGACCTGATTGGGTAACTTTACTTCGACAACATTTAAAATTAAGACCTGTTAAAAATGATTTTAAACCTACAACACAATATTTCTGTGAATTTAAGACTTTTTAGGGCTTAACATTTTGTTTTGGAAATTTAAAACATTTTAAGACTATTTAAGACCCAGCGGACACCCTGTTTTTTTTTTTTTTTTGCACAGTATGCATCAGTGTTTCATTTTACACAACAAAACACATGACCATGAGGTTGAAGGGAGTTTATTTGCACTTTTCTTTTTTTCATGAGATAAACAATACGTTAATACGTACAACTGTAGTGCGTACACAGCTCATATTAAAAAATCGAAAAAAGCATACTGAAAATACAGAATAAAAAAATACATGGAAATTCAGCACCAACTGAAACGTTCTCGCCATTCTACCGCTTGTGTCACAGGAACATCGAGTTGTACAAGCTAAAGTTACGGTGTTTTAAATGGTCTCTACAGAAGGTTTTCAAGTGCTCAGTTAGACACACATGTACAAAGAGAACACATGCCTCGCCGGTAAACTGTCTGCTGTCTTTTTACCTGGAGTTTGTGGAGCTCATTGATCAGAAGTGAGTTAATTGGAAACATGCAGATTAATAGTTGCAATAATGTTCATCGAGCAACCAATGGAATGACACTATATAGGTAAATCTAGAACAAACAGCAAAATTATGCTAATGTTATGAAGAATAATTCAATTATGAGATTTAAAAGGAAGCCAAAGTTCAGATCAACAAAATTTGATATATTAAGGACAGTTTACACAAAATTACAATTCTGTCATCATTTACTCACTGTCTTTCTTGTGTGGATTAAAAAAAAAGATTCTGAGGAATGTTGGAAACCTGTAGACATTGACATCCACCATCTTTCTTGTGTGGATCAAAAAGGAAGATATTTTGAGGAATGATGGAAATCTGTACACTGATCCAGTTTTCTGTCCTACAATTAATTTTAATGGCTGCATTTTAACAAACATTCTTCAAAACATCACAAATAACACATATTCATAACGCTTGAGGGTCAATAAATAATGACAGAATATTATTTTTAGGCAAACTATCTCTTTAATTCAAATTTTAGGTCAGGTTTGTGTGCTTATAAACAACAAATGCTTCATATAAATGATTTTCTTTCAAAGGGAATACTAAAGTGGTCACAGACCAAAACCATGGATATCTCCTTGTATTTGCTTTGAATCATCAGCATATTAAAAATGAATTAAAAATAGAAATGAAGAATATTAACATCTTAACGAAAGTAAAACTATCTTTTGATGTCTGCTGTCAGAAAGTGTTGTCTGTAAGTGTTGTAATAGAGGCCGGGTGTGAGTGTACACACGAGAGAAAAACACTGAGGTAAATGTATAGTCATCTGCCAACACATTAAAACAGTTAAAAGATTAAATAACTTTACAATGGTTCACATTTTTTTAAGCCATGACCAACTACACAAACTAAACATCCCCATTTCTTTAAACGGCAGCAGAAATGTTGTAAATGTGTTAGTGTGGAACAAAACCAATATCTGCGGTTAATTTAGCACTAAAACGGTTTTGTGTTTGAACTTTTGAACATAACCCTAAGTATTTCAGAATAAAACACCCTGTAGCATTTTGTATTACCAAATCTCTCTGACTTTACCTTGTTTTCCAATTTCTGCACAAATGTTTTTTTTTTCACCTCTTACACATGTATATATATATAAAAAAACCAACACTGGAAGTTTAGTTGCGAGTGGTTAAATTAAATAATTTTCACCAGATGTGAGGTTGTCAGAATGCACCGTAAGTGTGTAATTTCAGACTTTTTCTTTGTAAGTGTTGATCCAGTTACCAGATTCCACTTGAACGACCACCAGGGGGCGCCAGAATCCTTGCAGAAGCTCTCTTTGGAACGTTATCATCAATTTGGGCACCTATTCGAAAGTAAATAGGTTAGAAATGCAGATATAGACTATAAAATTAAAGTGTTGTGATGATCTGGTACTGAAGGTAAACATATTTAAAAACATACAGACACATACATATACAAAAATATGTAAGTAATCCATTGCAATGTCACATGTCATTTTTTTACATACTTGACCCAGATACATTGATGCGGTGGTAAGTTAATATATTTGTTTAAGTGCTTATTTATTCATTCATAGAACACACATTTTTTTATTTATTCTCAACATAGGCATTTTGATTTATTAATTTATATTTCAATGACATTAATA